TGATCTTCCAGTGCGAGGTTGCCTTGAGCAGAGGCACAGGAAGCGGGATCGGCCGAACGAAGCCCAAGTCCCAAACACGAGGAAGGCCATCAGGAGGAAAACTGCAAGGAACTTCATTGTGATCTTTTTACTGTAAAGAAATCGAGTTATGAGACAAGATAAGGATAGGTCCGATATGCGAAGCTGAGCTTCGCCCGGCCCGTGCCGACTAATGTTGACTCGATCAACGTGTGCAGCTAGTGCGACAGAGAGCCACAGCAATTACCTCAGGGCGACAACTGCAACTTCTCACACCTGGTCGGGGCGCGAACCGCCAACCCCTCGGATTAGAGACCGGCGCGTTACCCCTGTACTGTCCTGAAGGTTTAATGATAAGGCAGGTTTTTGGAGTATTTTATACCTAGGACATGATCTTGGGGGCCTGGGATTTGAGGGACGACCTGGGGAACTAGATTATTGGGAAAGCTTTGGGAACGTCATATGATTGCATCTGAATATATAATAATTAGTTTGTTTGCCATTTCTATGAAATTTGATTGAAAACTGAATTTACTACAAATTCCAATAACGTGGTTTGTCAGAGGGTGACTATGGGATATCATTGTCAAATATCATTCAAGAAAACAAAAAACCAGGATTATTTTCTGATTTTTATCCCTATTAAAACTAACCAAAACACATTTTAAATCGTCGTCTGGAGTATACTGTAAATTGAAGATGTGCATGTGTGTATATACATATTTTATGTATGTCATAAATATGATATATATCATACATATACACACATAAATATAATGTATTGCATATATTATCATAATTCATATTATGTTTTACAAATATACCATATACATTATATATATCTATATCATATACATTATGTATATCATATAACACATACATTATATATATCATATATCATATACATCATTTATATACTTTATATTTTGTATTATATATATCATCCTTTATATATATTGTTTATACGACATTATATATATGATATTTATTATATATATGTTATATAAATTATAATATAATTTATATATTATTATATATTATATATTTATATATTATATATATATATATTATATATATATATATATTATATATATATATATTATATATATATATATATATATATATATATATATATATTTATATATATTACATATATATATCATATATTATACATATACATATGTATATGTATATATATTGATTACATATATTATAATTATTATATACATTATAGATTCCATATACTATATACATCATATATTATATACAGGTGGTCACCTACTTGCGAACTTCCGAGTTACGAATTTCGGTACATACGAACAAAGCTGTCAGGAGGGAGTGAGTGTAGCGCGCGTCGTAAACTATAGCTCTCTCTGTACCCACACGGTCTCATTCAAACGTGTTGTATGCTCTCCAGAAAACTTTGTGATTTTGTGATTATTTTTGTAATTGTATTTTTGCTAAATACGATAAAATAAAGAGTTATGGCTAAATCTCTGACCCCCCCCCCATCCGCCTCCGGCTCCGATATTTACTTTGTCGCGTCTGAGCAAATATACCCAACAATTTTTTTTTTTTTTTATTTTTCGATTTATTTTGGTATTCTCTGGTAACTAGCATGCAACTCTGTTTGCAGCACAGCTGGCAGTCACTACAAAGAGACAAGGTTGGCAGTCACCACGAGAGAGGAGCGAGATGAAGTCCGTCCCATGCCTCGGGGCGACACCATCCCTGATGCGCCCTCATCACATAATAGGCCACTACTAATGATCAATGTTATTCCTGTAACTAATAAGCATAATATGATGAGAAATACATCTCAATCACAGCTGCAGCAGTTGTTTATTCATATGAAATGCCTCGAGAAGCACTGCAAGCAAGCACTCATTTAGTCCTTTGGAAAGGGGGGATACACTTCAGAATACATGTGAATGCCATAGAATGCATCAAGGTTGACTCAGAGATCAGATTTCCAAAGAAAAAAAATGGAGGAAAAATATCCTCAACTTCAAAGCCTGATATCTCAAAACTTCGTTCGTACTAGATGAATCGTTCTACGGTACAATATCGGTACAATACTCAAGAACAAGGATAAGATCATGGAACATGTGAAAAGTTCAGTCCCTATGCATTCTACTGTTATTAGTAAGAAACGTGGAAAAGTGATTGCAGAATTTGAAAAACTTCTGAGCATTTGGATGAAGGTTGTTCAAAGCACATTAAAAACCACCGAAAACTACTGCATTGTTTATACCGGTACGTCCGAAAGTAGAGCTAGTTGTACAGTAATGAACATACCGTACGCCCTACTACGGACATACGAAAAACGTACTTACGAACAGCCTACTGGAAGGGAACCTATATATACTACATATTATATATCATAGACATTATATATATATATATATATATATATAGATATAGATAGATATAGATAGATAGATAGATAGATAGATATACCGATCTGACCAACTTCTCACCTGACGGAGGACTACTTTGTTATTATTATGGTTGGCATTGTTGTTGTTGATATCAATGTTGTTTTTGCCTTCATTATTATTGTTTTAGTTTTGTAATCTATACTGCTATTGTTGTGGTTATTGCTTTTTTTCATTGGAGAAAGCGAAACATAGAATTTATCTGTATTAACGAACACTTAGTTTATAATTCCAAATCACGTTTCTCGCTGCATTTCTGCTGTCAAATAGCATCATTGCAATGTAAACGTGACCCGAATTTGCAATTTCGTTCTCCCGTTTAATTACAATTAAAGGAACGCTGTTTGTGTTTTGGTTTTGAGAATATTAATTGTTCCTTGATTTCACTTCAGTCTCAGTAATTGCAAAATCAAGGGCATGCACTGGCATCTGCAATATGTTAATTCTACAATGCACTGCACGACTGACCTGTTCCCATTGCAATCCAAACACGACAAGAAATATATATATATATATATATATATATATATATATATATATATATATATATATATATATATATTATGACAGTGGTAGGATTTTTACTGATTATTCATGTTATCATGATTATAAAAATGCAAAAAATAATTTGTTGCGCCTCTTTTTTCGAGACCAAACAAATGCTCCAATGAATAAGTATTCGTTATTCGTATGTAGTGGAATAACTCTTGGTCGAGTTTGATACGGATTAAATAATATAGTTTGTAGAGGAACTAAATCAGTGAAATGTATTTTCTGGGTTTATTATTGTTATTTACATTTGGATTTGTGTGCATCAGGATACTAAGAATGATGAATAGATGATGATGATGATGATGTTGGTGGTGGTGATAATAATTTAATAAATGGCGATGATAAAGATAGTAATTATCATTACCTTAGTTTTCTTGATAAATAATGATGATTATAGTAATGGTACTACTAATAAATATGATGGCAATAGTAATGATAATGACAATGATAATAAAATGATGAAAATGAAAATAGTAATAATGATAATGACTGTAATAATAATGAAACTGATAAAAAGTATTGATAATGATGATATAATATGATGATGATAATGATGATAATACTGATAATAAAAATAATATTGATAATGACAATGATAATCGTAATCTTAATCATTATCATTATCATAAGTACAATCATAATCAACATAATATAATTATAATGATAAAACTAATAATGATTATAACATTGTGGTAAAATTGTGGGAAGCCCGACTCAGTTCATAATACGACATGCATATTTGCCGGACATATAGGCAAATAAAAGTATATCTATCAGATGGAGAAATGTGCATTTATTTACATGGCTTTGTGTATGATTATTCATTGGGTCGGGCCTCGCACAATTTTAACAAACCGATGATAAGTATAAAATGTATCACACACAGAATTTCAAGGTAATTTGATAACATAATGAAAGTGTTCAACATATAATCATATCACTAACCATTCATTAAAAGTAAATATAGGACATAATTAGACCTGTTCTTCTAATGATGTTAAAAATTCTGAATATGAGAATCAAATCATCCCCAAAACATGTATCGCTTTCTAATCAGAAAGAATAATAAAATAAAGGCATAAAAAAACTACGGTTTGTGTAAGTTTAGCGTATCATTAGTATGTGCTTGGTAGAATTATGAAAAAAACAAAAAACAAAAAACATGTAGAGGGGAAGTAAAAGCACACAACAACAGTCGCTAGCGTAGTGTATTAGCATAATGCTGTCCTCAGACGAATGTTCATTGTTATTTCAATATCACCAAAGTGTTTTTTACTCTTTTGTTGTTCGTCCAAAGCATTAAAAAAGAAAAAGAAAAAAATCAGGGATGGACAAATTTATTTATTTATCGATTAGCAGTGACGTTGCTGAAACTAGCATGAAAGTGCGCATTCATGATCAGTAGGAACAAATATCGGCTGATCTTCCAGCGCGAGGCTGACGTCCAGTCCCTTGAGCAGAGGCACAGGAAGCGGGATCGGCAGAACGAAGCCCAAAGTCCCAGACACGAGGAAGGCCATTAGGAGGAAAATTGCAAGAACCTTCATGATATTCTTTGGGCTGAAAATAAATCGAATGATGAGATACATCTAGCTAAGTGGGAGTTAAAAAGAGGTATAAAGTGTATGTTCTAGTTAGAAAAGAAAGTATAAAGTTAATAGAAGGGGGGCGAAACCCCTTGCAGTGGACATTTCTTGCCTACCACAAGAGGAGGTGCCGACCGTATTTCAGTTCATTAAATTTCATTTATTCATTTATTATTACTTTTTACTTTTATTTTTAATCTTTTTCTTATTCAGTTTACCATTTTATTATTCATTTTTTCCAAACCTTCCTAAGGTGATCTGCCACTGCGATCTCCTGGTGGAGTTCGAAACATACATACGTATATACACACATACACACACGCTGGTATACATACAATCACATATACATGCATTTACGTATGTTACCATACACTCACATATATATATACATTTACGCATACAAACACCTATACATACGTACACACATGGATACATCCACATATATTCATATATATATATATATATATATATATATATATATATATATATATATATATATATATATATATATATATATATATTATATATATATATATATGTATTTCTAACCCTCCTGCAGTGATCCGTCGCCTCGGCCTTTGGATGACCGAAGTCCAGGAGGCAGGTTTCCTAGATGAGATATACTCTCCGGGGACTGGTGTGTCTCTCTTTTATTTATTTTTATTTTTGCATATTTTTTCACTCATTTATTATCTTTTTGTCTTTATTTCTTAATTTCACTTATATACTTTTTTTTTCAAGATCAGCGTGAGTACTGGGGCCGGGGTGGGGTAGCGTGAGAAATTGCCGACTCCGTGGCCACCAGCTGTGGTTAGTGTTTTTGTTCCTATGTGTCTCGAGGAAGTTTGTGTAGATTGGGCCTTCTGGGTGTTGGAACCTCCCACGTTTTC